ATGTATAAACAAAATACTGCAAGTATGATCACAAGTAACGAATTTAACACACAATTTGAGACATTAAAGAGTTATGCTTTTTAACGAGCTACGAAATGTAAAGATTTAGCTAGTATAAATATATATATATATATATATATATATGTATACCTAGTGTTAATATGTTAATTAATTTATAAAATGGGTATAGTTTAATCTAGGAATATTATAAATGTAGGTAATAAATAATGAATAATAATCTATTATATATTTAATTTATATGAAATTAATACTATATTATTAGTTAAGGAAAAATATCACACCTACACTGGAACCTAGGGTCAATACAAAATTAACAAAGTAAACTTTTATTTTAGCTTAGAAAAGTATATCGTTTCTAGTCGACGCGTGTGTGTCGTTGAACAATTTCTTTTAATTATTTCGATAAAGTTTTGACTTCTTATAGATCGTTGAAATGTGGTTATAAGGACRTGGCAAGAAAAAGTTCGACGAAGGATAACCATTATGAAAGGAAACTGAGCATTCGAACAAAGGTAACTTTTGGAAGAAAAGCTTTTGAAAAAAAACTAACACATAAACATTACATAGATGTAGACGTAAATATATAATATTATCAATTCGTCAGTTTTAACGTCAATAAAATATTATTGAACGTTTAATAATAGTTTCGACAAAATATTATTGAGGTTTAAGTTAAGTAATTGCGTTAAGTAGGTATTCAACTCATCATATTAAAAAGGGGTTTATTTTTTTAATAAGATGTTTATAGCTATAAACTATAACAGATATAATTTAATCTATAATAATCTATAATTATTCGTATTATCGTTACATTAGTTTTATAAACTCGAAAAAACCACTGTCTGTCTGTTATATTTTTATAGCTAAGCCACTGAACAGATTTTGTATCTTGATATATAAATGGTGGTATTTTATATATTTTAAAAGCTTGAATTCTAAAAACTTTTAAGGGGGTAAAACTAAATAATCACGCTAATGTGATTGAAAATGAACTACGTAGATAAACATTTAAAATTTGAAGTGGGTGTTGATTTTATATTATTGTAGACATTGTTTAAGAAAAGTTTTT